TATAATATATAACTATATGTATATATATATGGGTTACGCTCCTGCGATAATAAGCATATGGTACATAAAAATTATAATCGTACTGAACATTATTGCATTCGCGGTTGCAGATGCTGTCTGTGCTTTTTTCCAAAACTATATTATAATTAAGGGTGTATATTTGTATATAAACGCGTGATTGCAATCCTCCTTCCGATGCATATTAATGTGCCAATAGCACCACCTGAGGCGCACATCCAAAAATAAACTAAATTACTTAATAGTTGACAGCCGATTGCTGATAGTAAACATATTTCTACATAAGAAAGTACATAACGATTATAACACACAATTTTTTTTTTTTTTTTTTCGTTTTTTTCCCCCTTTTTCAAGCATTTTTGTATAGCCTACAGAAGAATCAACATAGGAGAAACGCAAACGCCAAGGGCAAACATCAAAAATAATGGGATGACTGCGGTGGCTGTTGCTGCTGTTGCTTCTGTTCATTGCATATATAGATGTTGTTGTTGTTGCTACTGTTGTTGTTGCTACGGTTGTTGCTGGTTATTTTGATGATGTTGTTGCTGTTGAGGTCGTTGTCGTTGCCGATGCCATTGGTATTGTTGCTGCACTAGAGCCTCTCCACAAACTTGCTCAGCTGGTCAGAGGCATCGGGCAGGGAGCCACCTGCATTGCCCACATTGCCGGCATTGACGCCAACGCCGACCCCAACACCGACACCCACTCCACTCACGCCCACATCCTGGGGCACACCCGGCAGCGGCGACTGATGGTGCATGCCATGATTGTGCAGGCCGTCGTGTGGTCCTTGGGGCGCCGGTGAGTGACTGCTCATGACATGATGCGGCGAGGGCTGCGCTCGAGGCGATGCTGAGGGTCCACGCGGCGACGGGGCCGAGCGCGGCGAGGGCGTTGGCTGTGGCGAGCGTATTGGAGGAGAGGAACGTGCCGACTGCATAAGCTGCTGCTGCAGCGTATGCGGCGTGGGCGGACCCATCACATTAGCTCCGGGTCCACTGGGCCCGCCGCCGCCTCCAGGCAACGTGTTTTGCGGATTTGTGCTGCTCATGCCGCCTCCTCCAGCGGCGACAACCTGCATCATTTGCTGCTGCTGTTGCTGCTGCTGCATGGGCTGTTGCTGCTGCATGCCCGGAGGCATGACGCCCATCTGCTGTTGCTGCTGCTGCTGTTGCTGTTGCGGACCGGGCTTGACACCTGCGCCGCCGCCGCCTTGCTGCTGCTGCAGCATGTTGGACGCAGCTGCATTCGCCATGGAGTACTGGTCAGAGCCGGGCCCGGACGCACCGCTGCCCACAGCTGCACCCGCTACTGGTATTCCGCTGACATTTCCTCCACCTCCGGCGTTAAAGTTCCCAGCTGTGCCGCCCGGAAACGGTGGCTGCCCAAAAACGCCCATGTGTGGGCCGCGCTGGCGTTGTGGATACGGTGGCGGATATTGGTTCATTGGCATATATCGCATTTTATTCAAGTTCTGATTGGGCACCTGTACGGAAGAAACGCGCATTTAATCAGAAAACCAAACATCAGATGAGGCGGGAGCACCTTGAACTGTGCAAGAATAAGCATGTGATGGTAGTCTGCGGTCCTCGATTCTAATCCTTATATATATAAATTTTGACTGATGTTAAAAAACAGTATTTCCCCTACAGGTTAAGGTAACTGCATCTAGGCCTTACACTCTATTGTATTTAGGGACTTGACTGAGAGATGCGATGGACCTCGAATGATCTGTGTTTTTAATAACGGAATAAAGTAAAAGCTCATAAAAATGCTCGACATATTTCTGCGTCATTCGAGCTTGCATTTGCTGGAGCGCCATCTAGCGGTTCCAAACTAAACTAGTCGCAATCGTAAAGCATAGAATATGACAGAGTGCAAGCATTTGAATGTACATATGGGACAAATCTTGGCCAAACGTTTTCTCTAGTAACTTCTGTCTGACTCGACAGATTTTAATGAAAGGTTCAGCACATAATCTAGATATACTGATCAATATTTGCTAATTTTAGAATATGTGCCAACATTCAATTGAAATAAATTCACAAATATGTTTAGCTGGTGTTCAACATATAACAACAATTAAAATTGTATAAAACACAAGAATCTGGACGAAATATGAAGATGACATATCGTACATAATTTGAAAATGAAATTTCGATAAAGTAAAGCGAAAAGTTAGATTCTTTTAAACAATCTCGAGCTTCATATAATAGAAGAACGAACCTACATATAAAATTTTATGTCTCTACATCTCGTAAGTTCTGATATCGATGGGCAGACAGCGCAGCTCAACGTCCTGATCAAAGAAATATGTATATATATACAGCTATCCCTCGTATAACGCGGTCTTAAACAACGCGATTTCGATATAACGCGATGTGGAAAAATTAGGTTTCAGTACAACGCGAAATTTAGGCTTATATAAGGCGAAGGGGAAAATACATAATTATAACGTGCTTTGAAGACAGTGAAACAGATTAATTACCATATGAAGTTTGAAGAATAACAATAAAGTTTTTAATAAATTTTTAAATTGTTTTAGTTTGTTTTTAATTTTTTTAATGTGCACATAATTATTTAAATTTAATATTTTTGAATTTTACATACAAATGTATGTACATATGTATTATTTTTTATATCTTGTAGTGAGTTGAAATATATGTGCATCTGTTATTTTTTATGTATTTTATAAAAAAAAAAAAAAAACCTATTGAAACCTAACCCCCAAATTTATATGAAAACTATGTTTTAGATAACGCGGATTTACATAACGCGCAAATCTTCTGGAACGTAACTATCGCGTTATACGAGGGATACCTGTATATATATATATGTATGTATATGGGCTCTGCCACGCCTTTATCTGCCTTTTACAGACATTTTAATCAAACCATTTCCCAGTTTCAATCGGTGCATCACTTACCATGCCTCCTTGTGAGCCTGGCGGCAAATTGGGCAGCATCATTGCCGTGTTCTGCATGTTGGCCATGCGCTGATGCGGAGGTCCCTGCTGCTGCTGCTGTGCGGCCTGCATTAGGCTCACTTGCTGCTGTTGGCCGGGGCCCATCTGCTGTGGCCCGGGGCCGGGTCCCCCCTGTTGCTGTTGGTTCATCATGTGCTGCATCTGCTGCTGCTGCATCACCTGCTGCTGTTGTTGCTGCTGCTGCGGGGTCTGCGGTCCGTTGCCCGCCTGTAGGGCGCCGGCTGGGCCACCAGCTCCGCCGGCGGCAGCGTTTATTTGGCTCTGCTGGCGCTGTTTTATGATGGCCGCCATAATCTGGGGATTCTGCTTCAGTATGTTGAGTATGTGCTGGTTGCTCTCGTTGGTCGGATTGTTCTTAATCTTCTGCATGATATGGGCCAGTGTTTGCGTGTTGAGTGGCGGCCCATTGCCCATGTTGGGTCCCGCACCGCCAGCTCCACCTCCGCCCACGCCTTGAGCTCCGGGTGGCCGTACACCGCCGCCAGAGGCCGCGCCGCCAATTTGCGCTCCCATACCAATGCCATGGGGCGCTCCACCGCCGCCCATGTTCACACCACTGCCCACAACGGGCATCTGCCCGGCTCCAACTCCGACTCCTACTCCGACGCCCAGCTGATTGGGCGGCATGCCCATCATCTGCTGCTGCTGCTGCTGTATGTTCTGCTGCATCAGCTGATTAGGCTGGCGCATACCGGGCTGGTTGGGCGCGTTGTTCGTGTAGCGCTGCTGGCCGGGGCCGCCGCTGCCGCCCCACTGATCCAGGGGCAGCAGATTGTTGGCGTTCAGAATATTGTTGCAGTTCGCGCCGCTGGGCAGTTGTCCGCCGCCTGGCACCACGCCCACATTACCAGCAAGCTGATTGCCTCCCACGTTGCTCACCATGCCGCCCATGCCGCCTTGGTTCGACACGCCTACGCCCATTGGCCGTTGCATGACAGGCGGCGCCATGGGCACACCCTTGCCAAAGCTTCCACCGTGCGGCACCTGTTGACGGGCTGCCTCCTCCTGCACCTGCTTCACCACTTGCAGCACATTCGGCGACGGCGAGTGCCCACCGGGCTTCATGCCAATGCCCGGCTGGTGCGGATGTGGCGATGTCATGCCGGCCATAACAGCCCCCGACACTGGCGACGGCACCGCCACCGTGGACGGACTCATGCCGCCGCCACCGGCTGGCATGATGGCTGCTTGCCCCGACATCACCTGCTGGCTGACTGCCACGCCGGACATGCCCACGACCGGGCCACCGACACCAACGGCGCCACTTGCCACCACTGGCCCGCTAACCGCTGGACCGGGCAACGCAGCGGGCGCTGCGGTCCTCGACATAAGAGCGACGCGGCGACGCAATAACTGTTGCTGCTGCAATCTGTAAAAGGCAAGGAGTACACGAATCAGTTAATCTAAGGTCTCAAATCAGTGAAAGGCCAAATAGATATATGTACATGAATGTATGCATATGTATACATGTCTATATGCATATATATAAGCTACTTACTTTTGCTGGAGCTGCTGCTGTTTGAGCTTGTGCTTGATGTTGGGACAGAAAGGCACTGGGCACTTCTGCTCCTGACAGTGCTTGGCGTGGTAGCAGCAGAGGGCGATGAGCTGCTTGCATATGGGACAGCCACCGTTGGTCTTTCGCTTGCAGTTCTTGGTGTGCTGGACGACGCGCTTCATCTTCTGGCAGGAAGGCAAACGGCAATTGGCATCGCGACACTGGCACGCGTGCACCAGGGATTGGATGCATCGCTGAATGGACTGCTTGCGCGCCTCCTGCGGATTCGCCTGTTTGAGATCGGCCGGCGCCGAGCCATCGTCCAAATCGAAGCCCAGTTTCTCCATCTTGTGCGGATGTCCGACCTTCTCCTTGCACACCGTGCAGAGATCAAAGTCCTGCAATTCGGAAATCAAACAGAATCGAAATGAGTAATCGTGTTGATTTCACTCAAGAATGGAAGCTAGCCCGGACTACATTATGTCTAGCAGTCGGAAAGTAGCAGCTGGAAAATAACCAAATGCAAATTGAACTTACATCACAGACGGTGCAGTGGTAGCGCGTCTCGACCGCCGTCTTGCAGTTGTTGCACGTGTAAACGAACTTGTCCTGGCCCTGATTGTGCAGCTCGTACAGCATGGATAGCGTGGAGAACTGTGCGCGTCGCAGCGAAGAGAACTCGTAGTGCTTGTCGCGGGCAAGTGTGAGGAATGCATCGCGTCCGTCCATCAGATCACAGGTCAGCAACGGATCCGGATCTTGGATTGGCTGCAACACGAACGAGATCAATGAATGGAATGAGCCAAGTGCATCATCGAGCATTAGATAATGTGACTTACCGCCAGACTTGCTGCTGATTGGGCAGAGTGTAGGCGTATGACAAAGAAGACTTCTTTGTGCTTCTCCATGGTCGCATAGATCTTGGCGGACAAATCGTTGCCCGACTGATGCTCGTTCGACTTTTTGCTATTCTTACGCTGTGCTGCTTTGGACTTGTTTGACTTTTTGGCCTTCTTTTGGCCTTTCTTTTTGCCGTCGCCACTAACCTCGTTATCCTCAATAGAAAAGAGCTGCAGATCATTTGAAAAAAGCTGTTAAGTTACACAAATTATTTTGTTAAGAATTATGTTGAAAAAAAAAACGAAACGTACGTTAGCTGCGGCAGCTGCTTCGGCTGCCTCCGCCTGTTTGCGCTTCTCCTCCTCCTCTTGGTCGAGCTCCTTGATGCTCTCCTCCAGCACGTTGGGCCAAAAGTCGCCCTCAAAGTAGGGCAGCTCCGCGGCCGAGCCGAGCTTATCTTCCATGGCCTGTTTAAGTATGTCCTTATAGTCCTGTATGATGCGCTCAATCATGCCCTTGTCCAGCATCTTCTTGTACCACTCCTGCAGGCGCTTCGGCTTGGGTATTTTCTGATCCGTCGGATGACAATGAAATATGTAGTCATCGCCCTCAGAAGGCGGACACGCCCAAATGTGCGCCATCGTGTAGCCCAGCTGCTTCACATAGTCCATGTAGCCCAGCAGAATCTCATGGTAGACTGCCGTGCGATACTGGCGTGGCCGAAAGAAGTGCACTGAATCGAGGTAGGCAATGTAGACGCGCCGCGTATTTGGCGCCGGGCACTCGGACCCATACTCCTGGACGTGCATGCCGAAGAAGCAGACGTCGATGCCATCCACTTCTTCAAAGGCAAACAGGGCCTTCGCCCGATATGGGAACTCCTGCATCATCTCGCCGCCCTCCACAAACCGCCGTCGCATGCCCGGCTTCACCTCCACGCACTTGTCCGAGGAGGACACCACACGTATGTGCACCTCGCCGGCGCTGGCTTCCTTCTTCTTGAGGAAATTGTTCACGCGCGTCTCGATGTAGACGCCCAGCTTGGTGGTGGGCAGGCGCTTGGCGTTGAATTTGTTCTCCTTTCGTTTGGAATTCTTCTTCTTCAGACAGTTATCACATACAAAGCCGCCCGGCCATATCGAATCGAGCCAAAGCACGCAGATCTGATGCTGTTTGCGTCCGCACTCCTGGCAGTCCACGAATGGCTCCAGCTCCAAGTGGTCGTTCTTCATCTCCTTAAATTGGTCCTTTTTGATTTGGCTGAATGTTGATAAGAAAGTGCGATGTTAGCAGAAGTTGTATTTGACCTTGATCTCGTTCTTGATCTCGATCTTGACTTACGTTTGCGACTGCTGCGGATCCTCGCCCAGAGTAACAGTATCTCCTTGTATGTCATTAAAGCACTTTTGGCAGAACGTGTATCTATTTGAGGCGACACCGTATTCCTTTAGACTGTGGTGATTGATTGATTTGCATGGCAACAATTTACGAATTGATGGCGATGAGCAATGGCGATAGGCGATGAACAATTGGACAATTGGACAATTGATATAACACGTACGATATACGAAATGATTGCCAAAGGCAGCATAGGTAAAACAAAAAATGTCACACAAACAGCAACAACAAGTACATAGGTGTACATAATATTCCAGGTATTTCATGTAGATGTATGTGAGCAATATTATTATTATGATATTAATTGTTGTTGTAGTTGTTGTTGTTGTTGTTGTTGTTGTTATGGCCAAATACGCAAGTGCATTAACAATTTGATTATGTTTGAGTGTGGTTTCGATGTTTGTTTGTTTTGATTTTATTAAGTCGAGTGTGAGTTTCGTTAAAGCGGTATGCAAATTACATCAAAGTCGTGTCGATTGTGAAACATGTGAAATTAATTAGAAAATGAAAATAAACGAAAAAATAAAGAATACATTTCAAATTAGAATCATAAAATACACTATTATTAAACTATATGCAATATATTTAGATATTGAAAGCAAAAAAAAAAAAAAAATACCAAATTAATAAACTAACAATAATTTCTCCGTATGAGATGGGTTTCATTGTGCCAATGAACATTGTTAACTGATTTCTGCAGAGCTGTACACATCGATACACATTTATACATATATAACAAATGATTTATCAAATATAGAATAGATATTAACATAGATATATAGAAAGCGAGCCAAATCGAAAGCAAAGTAACAGTTTTTTTTTTTTCTTTTTTTTTTTTTCTTTTGATGAGAAAGCTAGGGTGCTACACACATACAAAGTGGATTCTGATAGTTCTCAAATCACAATCATAAGAAGAAGCTTCCGTTTTAAAGGCAGTCTCTCAACGGTTCCCTTGTTTCTAACCACTTTTCACTTTTCACTTTTTTTTTTTTTTTTGCTGGCGGTTCTTTCAATTAATCAAAATACTGAATCAGAAAGTAGTAGTCTCATTTATTTAAATAAAGCAAGTCACATCTAGTTTTGTTATTTCATGTCTTGGCAGATGCATATTATGTAGGTGTTGTACATATTATTTTTGATTTATCCAGACAACAACATGCACCAGGCAGACTCGCAGGACACCAAACTTTGTGCGTGTGTGTGTGTGTGTATGGTTTTTAAGTAATTTCATTTTCATTTTTGTATCTTTTAATTTTCTGTTGTTCTGTTTTTGGCCACTACGATGCGTGTGTGTGAGCTGGCGAATTGTTGTGGATTGTATATAGAGATATATACAAATGAGACGATGCAACACAAATGAAAAGAAAAACACACGCACACACACACACACACACACACACACTCTCACACACAGAGAGAGAGAGAGAGAGACACACATATGCATTATCGCATCGCATCAGAGTTAATTTCAGCTAATTTTCTTACTTAATCATAGTGTGCCGAAGAAGCAACTTAATGGAGAATGAGGGCCGTGTTATGTGCTGTTGTTGTCATCGCTCGATGTGGAAAGCCGTTTTCAGAGCTCAGAGCAGCGTGTCGGTATATGAAACATATTTCCATGTTTTAACTACTACATTTTCTTGTTGTTGTTGTTGTTGTTGTTGTATATTTGATAAATGTATGTTTGTGTGTTCAAGGAGATGCAATCGAATGCATGACCAAAGTTTAACTTTACTAGATGGCTATATATCAATTGCCGTTGTTTCAGAGCACAACTTTGACTTTGACAATACATATATATAAATATGCTTTCTATCACTAACTCTTAAATTTGAAAAAAAAAAAAAAAAAAAAAAAAAAAAAAACATTTGGCTTAAGCATCGCTTGTTATATATGGGTACTTGTGTATCTGTATCTGTATCTATATGTATCTGTCTCTGTATTTGCATACAGCTGCTGGCAACTTGGCTAAAAGACAAATGCTCATCATGGCTGTGATATTGTTAATTATTCGATATCTAAGGATCACTAAATGTGCCAACAAATCAGAATATATGTATATACAATATATAACAATTTGAAAGTGTCAAACTTTATAGGAATTACGTATCAAAGAATATTTTGCCTCGAAAGTCACTCAAATCGAAATCCAATTTCACTTTGTAGCAATAAAGTTGAATATATTTCTCAGAGAATTATATATGTATATGTACATATTTCAGTTTCTTGGCACACCTCCGGAGTGGACGACTAAGGATATTAACAACAGCTGTATATGAGCGCGATTGTTTGTGTGCGCTGGCTGGTGTGTGTGTATTATATATGTATGCATTTACAGTTACACATTGCACTGCTGGCTATTGGGGGCATTTGGGGAACGCACCTGTTTTGGTAGCTGTAGTATTTGGCGTCGCGCGGTATCGTGCACAGCTGCTTGCCGTAGCAGCAGAGCACCTGCGGATTGAACGTGTATTTGCGGCCGCAGCAGTAGCCTAGCGCCTGCATCACGGGATCTATTTCCTGCTCGAACACCTCTGACAGCTGTGTGCAGGGCAGAGGGCAGAGGGCAGAGGGCAGAGGGCAAACCAGGAAGAAAAGAGAAAAACATTTTGTTGGAGATATCACAATGGAATGGCTTGGATTAGATTTAATGCGATTTTAGCTTCGATTAATGAGAAATACATGATTCACACTTGGTTTTACTTTTAATTGGAAACAAATGAACACTGGAACAATTGAAAATCATTTATCTGCGGGCGACTGATGGCTCCCGTTTCTTGAGTTTTGTTTCTTGATTGTCGTTCATCATTTCTCATTTCAGCTTTTTGCAGTTGTGAATTTACCTTGGTGCAGTAACGATAGACACGCGATGTCTTGCGATTGTAGAGCCACGCATTGTCGAACATCAGCCAGACATCGTCCACATACTCCCATGGATCACTGTATTTGCCATTCAGTATGTTGCTGCGAATGGTGCCCAGGTCCATTGGCTTCTTTACGATCTCGAAGTAGTCGGGTATGGCCAGCGCCTGTGGATCGACTGGATAACGAAATGGCACCGACTCCGGCTCCTGCCGGTACAGCTTCTCCAGCGTGGGCATCAGGGCTGTGCGCAGCTCTTCCGGGTTGAATTCTACAATGGATAAAGGACAAAAAGTATTGCCTCCTCTAGTTAACTATTTATCTTTCACATCAAATCGTAAATCGTAAATCGCAAATCGTAAATACATAAACAACGACACCACTATTGCCATCTCTTTCTTATTAATGTAATTCGACGATATATTGCCCTACTACTCTCTCCCAAAATACCAAGCTAACAATTATTGTGCGACACTTACGGCATTTCTTCTTCTTATCACCAGCATTGGGTGCCAGAGGCTCAGGCACATGGGGCTTCGTTTCAGACTTGATCTTAATGTCCGCTGCGAGTCCCGAGGAAACGCCATCAATAGCACCATTGATGTCGTCCTTGCTATCGACGCCGCTGCCACCTATCGTCCCATCGCCATTGGCGCCGCCGGCAATGCCACTGGAGACGGCCGATTCATCCACGTCCATTGGGTCCGACTTGATCGGCTTCACATCTGCGCCTACTTCCGTCTTAATTTCAATCTTCAGCATGCTGGTGCCGTCGTTGTTCACATTCTTGCCCTTGCCGCCTGTGGAGCAGTCCATTTGCGAGCTGTCGCCGTTGCCGCCGCAGCTGTCGTCCATGAACTTCTTCTTGATGTCGTCCTCCTGCTTGATGGAGTCCAGCTTGCCCTTGGATGCCATTCCGCCGCCACTGCCGCCATTACTTCCGTTTGTATCGTTCGCCCCAGCCGGCGACGGCGTCTCATCGTCATTATCACGCGCCGCCGCCTCCAGTGCCGCCATCTGTGAGGACAGGCTGCTCGAGCTGCTCATCACCCGGCCCGGTGCACTGTTCTCGCTGTTGCTGCGTGCCATCTGCAGCAGGGTGCTGCTCGCCGGCGTCGCACTGCCGTTGCCGCTCGTCGACGTTGTCGTCGATGTGGGCGTCGTGCCCGACGATGAGGCACAGCTCAACGGCGTCGTCACCGTTGTCGTTGTGACGACGGCCGAGCTGCTGGTGCTGCTGCCACTGCCGCTGCTGGAGCATGTTGCTGCTGCCGATGCGGGCGTACTGCTGGCCGTCAGGCCCGAAGCGCTCGTCGCCGGCACCGGCGAGGTAGGTATATATGGCGGAGTTGCTGCTCGATTGCTCAGCGGCTGCATCAGACTGCTAACAGAGGGCGGATTGTTCGAGGGCGTGCCAATGGGGCCATTGGACATGAAGCTAGGCGAGGGGCTCGGCGCAGCCACGGTACCGCCGCCAATGCTGCCGGCGCCAGCGCTCGCTGCGCCCGCATTCAGCGCATCCAAACTGGTGGGCGTGGGTGGCATATTGTTGAGCACACTGCCAGGAGGCTGCGTCTTCTGCTGCATGGGTGAACTGAAGGCATTTGTTTGCTGCTGTTGCTGCTGTTGTTGTTGCTGTTGTTGCTGCTGTTGCTGCTGCTGCTGCTGCTGTTGCTGCTGTGGCTGTTGAATGGGCGTGGCATTGTTGAAGGGCGACTGCGGCAATAGCATGGCCGCTGCGTTCGTCTGCTGCTGATGTTGCAGCAAGCGCTGCTTCATAATCTCGCTGATCTGAGAATTCTGCGCGCCGGAACTGCCATTCGCATTTATGAACTGCTGCTGCTGCTGCTGTTGTTGCTGCTGTTGCTGTTGACCGGGCACTGGGCTGGTTAAGATGCCCGGGCCGCCGCCCACCGCCGTCGCTGACTGCATCGTCTGCTGCGTGTTGAACGGCGACAGGACCGGATTCGCCACCATTCCGCCTGGACTGGGGCCCGGTGGTCCGACCAACATGTTGCCCTGGCCGGGCTGCTGCTGTTGCGGGAATTGCATGCGCTGCTGCTGCTGAATGGCGAGCATATTGCCGCCGGGCGAGTGACTACGCATGCTCGCCGCCACAGCAACCATGTTCGCCTGCCCAGCCGCCGTCTGCTGCTGCTGGCCGACGCCTACGCCAACGCCCATGCCAGGCGCCTGGGGACGCATCTGCTGTTGCATCATGCCACTCGGGGCACCCCCACCGCCGCCCATCGGACTAATATTGGGACGCACACCCTGGCCTGGCTGCTGCTGCTGCTGCAGCGCGTTGTTGGGCACGGACGTCGGATTGACGACACTGCTGTTGGGGCCACCTTGCTGCATCTGGAGCAGCTGCTGCTGGTGCTGCTCTTTGCGCTTGAGCCGCTTCTCTTCCAGCTCCTTCTGTATCTTGTAGATCTTCTCGGCCAGCAGGTGGTAGTACTCAGAACGGTTCTTGGCCATCTCGTACATGTCCTTCTCCACCTTCTCAGCGTACGTGACCAGATTGTGCATGCGCTTGTCCTGCATCGTGGTCGGATCTGAGGTCGGAAATATCGCCTGCACCAGCTTGTGCACGAGATGGTTGCGCAGGTCCGCAGTGACCGACTCACGCCAGTCCTTCTCGCTGTCACTGCCGTTGCCAGGCGCACCGCCGCCCGCAGCACCGCCCGCTCCAGTGCCCACCGTATTGGACCCAGCCGACGCGCTGTTGGCGCCGCCTGTCGTGTCCGCCGGCATCAGGACGCTCGCGCCGCCAGACGCGCTGTTGCCGCTGCCTGGCGCACCGCCAGCCGAGACGACATTGACGTGCGCCTGCACCTGAGCCTGCGCCTGGGCCTGTAGCTTCAGCTTGGTCATCTGGTCGGACTGGCCAACCAGCTGTTGCTGCTGTTGTTGTTGTTGCTGCTGCTGTTGCTGCTTATCGCCAACGCCAACGAAATTGGCATTGTTGAAGCCAACGTTGACGGAAAGTGGCGCTGGAATGTTGCCCAATTGCTGCTGCTGCTGCTGCTGTACGCTCTGCTGCTGCGCGTTGGGCTGCTGCTGCTGATCCACCATGTTTTGGAGCGCGCGTCTGCGTCCACCAGTGCCAGTGTTGCATCCCTGCAGCATCAGCTGTCCACTCTGCTGAGCAGCTTGCGCCGCCTGCTGCTGCTGCTGCTGCAAACTGCCGACGTCGTTGGCACCGGGCAGGACGTTCTGGCCGGGCACAGCCACTGGTACGGGCACACCGCCGGACGCCATTGTACTGCCTGGCTGGCCGGGCTGCACGCCGAGCACACGCACCGACGGAGCGCCCTGCATTCGTATTCCAGGTGCCATGCCTTGTCCGGGCGCGCCCAACATGCCGGCTGGTACCGGCCCTACTTGGCCTATGCTGCCGACTCCTTCGAATCGCCGCAGCTCCTGCTGTTGCACCTGCTGATGCTGCTGCTGTTGTTGCTGTCCCATGTCTGTGTTGCCCTTGGGCACGTTGGACGCGCCGGCCGCTTGTTGCTGCGGCAGGACAATTGCCGTATTTGGAGCGCCGCAAGTTCCAGCGCTCTGCGCCACTTGTTTGGTGTCCACACCGACTCCGACTCCGACACCGACACCACCTCCGACTCCGACACCACCTCCGACTCCGACTCCTACGCCAGACGGATTCTGCGGCACCTGCTGCTGGCCCTGCGGAAGCTGCTGCTGCTGCTGCTGTTGTTGCTGTTGCTGTTGCTGCAGCGGTGACGCATTGGGCGCTACAGCCGCTCCACCGCCGCCTCCACCGCCGCTGGCATTCTGAAAGAGCGAATTGTTCTGCCGAAAGGGAGAGCAAATGATGCAATCGGAACGCTGGCAGGTCTTGTAGTGGAGCAGTATCTGGCGCGACGAGGTGCAGTGCTGCATTGGACAGTCCTTGCTCTGCTTGCACGTGGCCATATGCGCCAGGACGGCCTTCATGGCCTTGCAATAGTTGACGCTGCAGACCTCGCGGTTGGGATTCATGTTCTCTCGCTTGTTGCACTTGTGCGCGTGCAGCAGGAGCATCAGCTGCTGCTGGATTTGCTTCTTGCGCTCGTCCGTCATGTTGCTTGACGCTGGCGCTGGCGCTGCCACGCTTACGGACGATGCCACGCCTGACGCTATTGCTTGCTGTTGTTGAGATGTTCCGGGCTGCTGCTGTTGCTGCTGTTGCTGAGAGTGCCCTAGCAGTTGGTTAGGCTGTGGCGCACGTGGCCCCATGGCGCCCTGTTGCACGCCTGGTGGCTGTTGCTGCTGCTGCTGCTGGGAATTCATTTGCGCATTCGCCGCGGCCAGTTGCTGTTGCTGTTGCTGCGTGTTGCCAACGAGTCCACCGGCGCCTGGAGGCGCACCATCGCCGCCAAGATTGGACATGGGCACGACGGTGCCAATAGGTCGATTTGCCTGGGCCATACCGGCGCTCATGTTGGGCGCCACAACCCCACCGACGCCACCAGCGCCTCGCTGCGCCATCTGCTGCGCGAGCAGCTGCGTGTTGTTGCTGCCGGGTGCACCATAGTTGCCGACTCCATAGGGCATATTGTTGATTTGGCCTGCACGAAAGAACAATGATGAAGCTGCCCATTTGGCTAATCTATGTGGTTGGGTGAGGATTTTTGCTTGTTTGTTCACTTACCCAGCTGCATGTTCGGGTTTTGCATGCGGGGGCCGCCGCCGGCTCCGACTACGCCACCCGGTCCATTGCCACCGCCAGCTCCGCCGCCCATCAAGTGCGGGCCTCGCAGCAGATGCTGCTGTCCCCCAACCATACGCCCCATCATCGGTCCATTCTGCATATGCATACCCTGGCTGGGCGCTGCGCCGGTCACCGAGCTCACGCCCACCGAGCCGGGCACGGTGCTCATCATGGATGCTCCGCCTGGCTGCTTCAGTGTGTTGACTAGGCCGGCGCCTCCAATGGTGCCCATGCCGCCGCTATTCGTCAGCACCATGTTGCCTAGATTGCCCTGCGCAATGCTGTTCATGCCTGCCGAGCATAAGTATTGAATCGCATGTTAATTCCGGCCTGACTTCGATGTGTTCATCTCATCCATGTATCTAGCTTACCTGGTATGGAATTCATGCCGTTGTTGCCATTATTCGATATGGACATGGGCATTGAGTTGACCATGCCCATCTGTGTGGCCACCTGCATGCCAGCCGTGTTGGGCGATTGCAGGTTGGGCGACTTGCTGCCCAGTTGATTCATGCCCGGCACCACCATGCCGCCGCCAGCGCCTTTGTTGCCCTGTTGCTGGTGCTGCAGCAACTGTTGCAGATGCTGATGGTGCTGTAGCTGACGAAGTTGACTGCCGGCAGCGCCACTGCCGCCATTACCACTGCCATCGTCACCGCCGCCACCGGCTCCGTTCATCTGTGGTGGCACGACGCCTGGACCAGGTCCCTGAGTAGCTGGTTTGTTTGGTCCACCAGCGCCAACGACGCCGCTGGCTGTGGATACAACGCCGCCAACACCGCCACCGCCGCCGCCACCAGTGTTCAGCTGATCCGACCAGCCACTGTTGGAGGACACCAGCTCATCGGGCAGATTGTCCTCCAGAAAGTACAGATCCGCTACGAAAAACAGGATTTGATTAATACTTATATCATGATATAATATGGTTAAGTAAGGATGCCTAACGGATATCAAATCTAGTTTATCAAAATATCCTGAATCAATATGGAACTGATAGATCCGAACGTAATGTTAAGCAAAGATCCAAATAATACATGATAGATATGTGAAATGCAGCTTGTGGGAATGTGCTGACTGTTTTTTAATACTACTCCCGCCCGCCCTCACAATACTCACTTTGATCCATTTTGACCCGCTTCTGTGGCGGTTCGTCCAAATGATCGGCCATCATATATATAATTATTTGCTAGCCTTTGACAGGCAGCAGTACGCGTCCTTGTGAGAATAAATATATGTACGTGTTTGTTTGTTGTGTGGTGTTGGTTGTGTTATCTTGTCTGCAACGGTTGCAAGACTAGCAGTACAAGATGGTCCATTAAAAAAAAAAAAAAAAAAAAAAAAAAAAAAAGAGTTGACAGTATTGGGCTATGGACAACAATTTTTGATTGCTTGCGTTTCTTGTGTTTCAACAGTTTTCGCACGGATGTTTGATTTTGTTTCTTTAGCTGTTCGCTTTGCTTTGCTTTGCTTGGTATTTTCTTTCTTGCTTATCTTCTCTCTTTCGGCTTCTTTTATAAACTTGCAATCTTGGTGGCAGTCAACAACGACGACACTTGCTCAGTAAATTGTTTTAATAAAATTTTGCATAAACTAGCGGGAGTTGTAAATAAATGTTGCAACTCCTTTGTTATTATATGCGCTGTTGGGGCTGTTGCTGCTGCTGCTGCTGCTGCTGCTTCTTCTTCTTTGTCGTCGTCTTGTTCTTCCTCTTCTCCTGGCCTTGCTATCGTCTGCCGCTGCGACGAAGACGTCGACGACGTCGTCCGCGCTATCGTCACCGCGACCGTGCCAGCTGAGCACGTCGCTGACTCCGTTGGCTCGCCGTTGAGATCGTTGTTGTAGCTGCTCCTGCTACTACTGGCGTACCATGCGCCGCCAGTAGACGTCGTTACTAATGTGCGCCTTTGCTCCAGACGCAACGCTTCCGCTACTGCTTCTGCTACAGCTGACTGCCAAAGCCTCAGATACTTCTGTTGCTCCTGCTGCTGCTGCTGCTGTTGCTGCCGTTGTTTTTGCTTTTGATGCTGTTCCTCTTCCTGCTTGTTCTCCTGCTGTTGCTGCTGCTGCTGGTTGATGTTTATTCTGGTTATGTTGTTTGTCATACAGCAGCATGCGCACGAGTGCATTTTGTGGGTAGGCGCCAAATCCACCAAATTGGCCTAATTCGAACTCGAATAAGTCGGCCTTGGCTAGGATTCGAAGTGCTTCCTGTCCTCTGCAACAGATGCTGCAAGTGAAACTTGAAGTAAAAGAAGACGACGTGTAAGAAGAAAGAACACTTTAAGCCAGCTAGCAAATGCGTTTGATGTTGCATTTGCCGCTGCCACTGATGCTACTGCTATTTCTCCTGCCGCTGCTGCTGCTGTTCCTRTTTGTTGTGATGTTGTTTGATTTGTTATTGTTGTTGTATTGGTGGTAGTGCTGCTTTTGTTTACCGTTGTTTCTATTTCTTGTACTGTAACATTTTATCGCTGCGAATGTTGATGTTTTGTTTAATTTGCAACTTGTTTTGGTTTGTTAAAATGTTCAGAGCATTTTATTATTGTTGTTGATCTGTAGAAATGCATTCACATTTCTGCATTTTACTTTTTTCTTTTTTCTTTGAGTGACTGATTCTGTTGTTGTTGTTGGTGGTGGTGTGTTTACATTCGCTGTATTCCACATTGCACATAACTGTAAAAATCTAACAAATAATTCTCTCCGATTAGAGTAAAAGTTAGTTACAAACGGACACACACGCTCATACGAACACTGGCGAACATACATAGACACACACACGTATTAATTAAATGACCTATAAGATTCACATTTGATACACAATGTCTCTTCCACACCACGCACATCGGCAAAAGACAAACAATGTATTATAACAGCATATTGCAAATGAGTTTTTATTTAATTTTTTTTTTTTTTTTCGTTTCGAATGCGGCTGCTGTTGCCGTTGCGCCGTTTCTGTTGCCGCTACCGCCTGCTCAACCAAAAACAACTCGCTGTTTTCTGTTTTTAGGCCTTGTTGTTAGTCGTAGTATTCGCCATCTCGCTGATATTTCTCCTCTATCACCATCTCGCATACGTCTACGTGTTTCACTCGCGCGCTCTCCCTCTCTGTCACACACTCTCACTCACAGACACACGCAAACACACAAATGTGTCATAATTAAGTATGCAAGTCTGTGTGCGTGTATTTCTGTGTGTATGTATGCGCACTATTACTTGGCCAACACGCACGCACGAAATGGGCCAGCAGCGTGCACAAGTGCGGAGGCAACCGCTTCAAAATTGCGCGCAAAAATTATTGAGCATTGAATTCGAAATCGGCAACCAATAGAAGCTTAAAAATTGAAAATATTATTATTCATAGAGCACTGAGTAGCCTGCAATTGAACATGAAGTCATGGATCGCGCATTTATTAAAAATCATATTTGTTTTTTGTATTTTACTTCCGCATGTTAGCGCTGGCTCATCGTACATGTGAACATCAGTTGCTTTCTGCGCCAAAGATGAGTGCCGAGCTTTAAAGCTTTTCGCGTACGAGTGATTGCCGCTACGATTGCTGTTAGTTAGCTGATTTTTTTTTTTAGCGAGTACATCGCAACACAGACCGCACATGCATGTACATGTAGACATATTATATATGTATAAGTGTACTAATTTGTGTGTGTGTGTGTGTCGGTGTATAAATATACATTCATGCATACGTCTATACGTATGCATGTATAAACGATTATTTTGAGTCTCGCCCGAGACGCGCGACGTTTTCACTGCACACATGTATAAAATTCAGCGAGACAATAATAATAGCGAGTAGAGAGCGAGGGAGCGAGAGCACACATTAAACGCTTGCGTTGGTATTGGTATTTTTCACGCTGGTATGCATACACACAGCACAGGCACTGCCAACGAGTGCGAGCAGCATTGGAAAAAGAAAGAAAAACAGACGACAGAAAATATATTCCTTTTTTTTTGTCGTTGCTCGTCCGTTTTCTTCTTCATGTCGTATCAAAGTTTTCTATTGCAGAAATTTTGTGTTGTAGGCGTATTTTTGATTTATAGCGTCGTGGAAAAAAATTATTAAATTTTTTGCACTAAATACGAAATTTGCAAAAATTGCAAAGAAAAATATAAAAAAATTGCAGCCAATTTTAAAATTTCGTTTAATAATTTTTGAATAATTTTTTTGCTGCACTTTTAATTTTTAAATATTTTTTAGATTTTTATTTAATTTCGTATTTTTACCTAAAAATTTTCACATTTTTCGTTGATTTAAGAAAATTTTAACAAATTTTTTCGCAACACTAAAACAAAAATTTTCAGTCCGCTTGTGTTGCAGCAGAAAGTCAACTGATTTCGCGAACGAGTAGCAACAGAACTAGAAAGAAAGACCGAAGCTGAAACGACTGTGACTCTGTGTTGTGTTAGTGTCAGACGACGACTACATCGACCACTAATGCCAGCTAGTGGCTACAGCGAGTAAGCGTACTCAACAAAGAGCGCACGCTTGCTCACGGAAAGAGACACCCGTAGCCAGAGTGCGGTGCCCAAGCAAGTGTTTAAGCAATTGGCTGCTTTAGGCGGCACGCGTTAGTATGTGTGCGTGAGAGAGAGATAGCGAGAAAGAGAGCGTCGCTAAATAACAATCTAACGAGAGGCCGCAGTGTTGCATAGTGAGGAATGTGAATGTTCATGTTTTTACCCGTGGCGGCAACACTCGGCGCAGTCTGTATTTCGAAAAACAATTTTGGTGTCGTCGTATTAGGAAGCGTCATTAGTTCTATCCTTGTCTGGCGGCTAAGCAGCCACTAGCAACTCGAGACACAAACAAATCAAATACATATGTAGTATGACAAAATTTTATGTCACTAAATAAACTATTCAATTAAACCAGAATTTATACGCTATTTTATACAAAGGAAATAAAAATTATAATTTAAAATTTTACAATTTTTTTTTTTTTATTTCTCTTAAATGGTTTCGCGCTGTTGCACACTCGTTCTTATGTACGCATTTCAACACAGAAGACATGAAGCGACAACACAGATGTGAATAAGACAGACAGACTATACACACTATGGAGATTAGCAAAGTGAAAGCGAGACAAACGGTGATGGCCACACTCAACGAGTAGTGTTACCATTCTGGCTATTTAATAGCAAATCGAGCTATTCTTTAAAGCGATATGCTATACAAATTTTTAAAATGCTATTAGCAACATTTTTAGGTAATTTATAAAAAAAAATTTTTGAATTAACAAATAAATTAAAGAATACAAAAATGAAAAAAGTTGATAAGCAAAAGTTTCGTGAAGAATGGACAAAGTCCTCTCAATTCAAAGATTGGATTCGAAAAGTCGAGTCGGACAATACGAGAGCAATTTGCATTTAGGGCAAATGCAGTATTTTTGCAAAATTGCATGATCTGGAAATACATGCTGTTACAAAAAAACGCAAAAGTGCGTTTGGCGCCTTTGGGTAAAACCCCAAAATTGTTTTTGAGCCGAAGAACAAAAGAATATTAATACAGCGAATGAGGAGGCGACATTGTGATTGTATTACTGTTAAAAGACACAGTAGGTTGCGCAAAGAGCAGTYCCGTTACTTTTAATGTTAACTAACGATCTGTTGTGACGTCACATTTTCAGATTGCGCTCTGCTATCTCGGCTGAAGCTTGGCGGGCACTTCAGTAAAAATCTTCCAAATGGTCCAAAACAGCCAAAATTGAGTATGTATATATAAGCTAATTTCAATTGTAAATAGCTTAAAAATGGCCAATCACTAATTTTATTACCATACAATAAAGAATATAAGTACATATATAATGGAATAAGCTGGAAGGCCTCTCGATTCAAATATAGTACAAGTTGAAGCTGCTCACACCTGCTGTCATGTCAGAAACATCCGGTGGATTAAAATAAATTTGGTGTATTAATTACAAAATCGAAAACTGAGCATTATATGAGTATTGAAGCACAAGGAAACATATAATCTGCCTAAATCAGCTCCAAAAACATGGGCTGAAGCTAACAATGCTTCGTATCATATAAAGCCATCAGATTCGTAATACAATGAATGAAATTGGTACATATAATCTTGCAGATTGATGGGAAATGCATAGAATATACAAATTAGCAAAACGCCTAATATGTCCGACTCGTGAATCTATATAGGACTTGTGATTAGCCGTCCAGCTCATTTTATTTACTCTACTAGACTTAAGACAAATAACAGTGTCGAAATTGCTTGAATTTCATACAAAGCTAAGCGCGCGCGCACCATTTTCTGAAATAATGACGTCACGCTGTCAAATCAGCTGTTTGTTTTACATAACCTGGTAGGGCCGGAAAACCATCGATAGATGTTCCCCTCGATAGATTTATCAATCGATGAAATGAACCATCGATACTATCGATATTTCCATCGAAAATTTGAAGTTCTTAGAAATGAACAAATTTTCAATAATTTAAATCATACATCCAACATAAAATGATTCGTGCAATATTGTATAAGAATACAAT